TGTTAAGAGTTAGGACGAATAATACCTATGTTGTAGTCCAAGAGAAATACCTTAAAAAACAACTAGTAAGATATCGATTACTTTTTGAGAAATCGTATTTTATTTAAATGAAATTAAAATAACATCGTGCAAATTTAATGTGCGTTTATGAATAAATTTAAAAAATTATTAAGAAGAGAAAAAATATGTTATTATACTAGAGTAAATCTTAGGAAAGTTATAAACTTAAATATTTTTGAATTTCAACAATTCATCTTAGTATTAATGAATTGACTTAAACAATACATTGTTTTAGTCATCATATTATTATATTATATTATAAATACACAAAGAAGAGCAAACATACGTTCAATCAGAATTTTAAAGTAAATTTGAAGGAAAACGAGGAAAAAATCACATAAGTACCCTTAAGTGTGCCAAAATCCTGGTCTTTTTAATCGAAATCTTTGCCAAACCCATTTCGTAAACCCATTTCAGTTGAATTCCATTCAATTCATGAGTTATCCGAGTTTATAAAACTTTTTTTTTTTAATCATCAAAAAAATGTCTTCCAATTTAATGTAATGGTTATGAGAATTGTACCCATCAATATATGCATTAAAAATTTAGACGAAACATTATATTTATGCTTTTGAAAATTATAAGTTTATTCAATAATATAATCGTGTAAGTTCCTGAAAATAAGCCGTTTATTTACTAAAAACATGATTGTAACAAACACACAAATATATTTATATTAATATAGCTTAATACTAATATAACGTAAACATATAATAATTCAAATGAATTATATCATTTTTATTGATATTAAATTTGACCTATGATATCAATATCAATAGCTCAATATATTAATAAATGATTACTGGTTAGAATTAAGAATAATAAATATTAAATGTTGAGTAAATAGGTATTCAATATTTAAAGGTAATACTACTGATAATTTAAACAAATGTAATAAAAAATGAAGTAATAAAAATTCAGAAATATTGGAAAAATTTGAATAAAAATAAGAAAAAAATAAAAAAAATAGGACATGAAATATACGCCTTATATAATAAGTAGTTATTCAAAAATCTAATGAAACGTATCTATTAAGTTTTAGTAATCAATAATTATATGTTTATACGATAATATTTTATGATAATAATAAAAAGTTTTCGCATGGAATATTTGTGAACATTTAGATTTTTCAGTTGACAACACTATATAACTCAATTAAAAACCGTTTAAATTAATTTATTCATTCAAATATTTATTTTTCGTTATACCTACATAAAAATCTTATTTTATAAGTTTACATATGAGTTAACTATAGTTAACTAGTATACTATGACTAACAAAAACATAAATGTACATTATTTTGATAATATTATAACACCACGGAATGGTTTGTTTTCATATAAACGCGAATCAATAAAATCCAGATAAAAACCTATATATCTTTGGTTTAAAAACAATTAAGTGAATACTTAATCTGAATACTATCTTCAACTAAAAAAAATTAGTAAAAAGCAATTTACGTTTATTCTTTGTAAAAAAAAGAAAAGACAAATTAATCACCTTTCCAATGAAGCCTGTCAACTAAAATTACGATGAAAAAATAAGTCACACAAATATCTATAGATATGATTTGCATATTTGACAATGCAGATGTTGCTACACTATCGGAAAGCGCATCGACCATTCTACAATGAAAACGCAATTTACCTATTATTTTCATTCGTCGAGAATCAATAACTTCAATCTGTCTCATCTTTCAGTTAATATGAAGAATCTTTTTGTAGATAGAATGCGAATGCGACTGATTTTATTGACATAGCAATAATATAACATTGAAAGTTTGCAACAACATCAAATTTATCGTCATTTTAAAATAGCATACACAACGAATTCGTGATAGTAAATAAATCAAAAAAAATAATTAAAAACAGTCAATTTATGCATAAATGAATAATAATAAACTTTATATAATGTAATATGTATATCAACATAATCATCATTACAGTCATTCATGATACATATAATGTTCATATTGATTATTTATATCAGAAAACAAATTCTCAAAGATGGTCAAAAGTCTACACTGATATTATTACAAGCTAAAGAGGGGAGCCATACACAATTGGCAGTAGGTATCCAAGATTTTCTTCGAAACTGTCTGATTAACAGCTTCCTTTACACAAGTGACGAAGATTGTTCAATAGATGTAAAAAAAGCTGACAGACTGGTTTTAAGATCCATGTTTGGGAAACAAGCAATAATTAGACACTAATACAATGAATTAACGGGTGAACAAAAAAATAAAATAAAATGAAAATAACTTAAAAATATTTAATACACACAATTCACAGTTATCACAATTTTTGATCTTAACCGCGATATGATATTCGAAGTTAACGAAAATAATTCAATGGAAATGTAACAAATTAATTAAGGCCAGCTTAGTTATTTTATAGGTAGTTTTTATGATACAACGCACATCAAATTTATTTATACGAATCTAAATAATTATAAAAATTATACATTTTTACAATCCAAGTAGCTATATTACGACGTACATTTTATCATATTTGTGTTATATAATACTACCGATAACAAACTATAATAAATTATCATTGTCTGTATTTTTAATTATTTTCTCGATTATTTTATTTTAGTACCTAAATATTATTATTAATATTTTGTTACAATAATCAAAAAGTATTTAGGAACATAACAAAATAAAAATATCTAATAAAATGCATTAGGAACAAGAATGTAAAATTTGGAATGGCGCCAGTGGTTGATTAGTATTAAAAATAAAAGGGTAGAACCAGACAAAACGTTTAGATTTCTACAGATTAAACGATGAAGTTTTTAGTTGATGACATTGAAAATAATCAAAGAAAATTATGATTTGAACAATAAATTGTAAAGTTAGCTCTGAAATTATTTTTCTCGTATTCATTAGTGATAAAAATATATGTATATAATATGCTAAATGTCTAAATAAAATGAAAAATAAATAAATAAAATAGAGACCAAGACAAATTAATGAACAGTTTCGATTATTTATGTATATTTAAATATCTAAAAGAATTCTTTATTGTATTTTTACGTTCGGTACAAAAATATAATAATAAACTAAAAACCTAGTTCTAATAATAACGATATGTATATTAGTAATAAATGAAGAAAAAAAATCAGTTTTCGAGAAAAAATAAAATGTCTATTCTTATTTTTAAACAAAGAATTATATTTCACAAGGTATTTTTCTAAATGTTGAAAAATTGTAATAAAAATATATTGATATTAAATAATGTATAAACTGAAACACTATTATAGTAGATAAAAATGTACAATACATATTTAATTTTAATCAGTGTTTCCATATAATTAATTTCAAGTTTTTGGTTGTTTAATATATTGATATACTTATTTAAATTATAATAAAGAGGTCAAACTGCATGTCACCAAAGGTTAATAGTTGTATACTTAACCTACTTAGTTTTAAAAAATAGGGAACTATAATTTAGTTTTTAAATTGTATGTTAATTATCTATAAATATAAATCTATTTGCATATACCTAGGTACATATCAACAGTTATTTTCAATAATATATAATACGACATACCTACAAAATATCTACACTGCAAGTAACATATCAATTACCTACCTATTTGTATATTAAATATCTTATGGTACTTTTGTAACATGAAATAAAACAATTTAAATGGATAAAATATAAATAATTTTAAATTCTTATCATAAGTTATAACAATTATGTATAATTGGAATTGATGTTTTTATAAAAAATTTTATGCGAAAAATATTATTATTTGATTTATTTTTATTTTAGATTGAATTTTTGAATTTTCTTAAATATTTAACAGTTTCATTTTTTTTCAAAATTCCAAATATGTAAAATATTTAAAAACTAATTATTTATCATAAAAATAAACCATACATATTACTATATAAGTAACCTAAGCATCTATCTAGTATAAAAAATATAATGGTATACCTATTTATATTTTTTCTAGCAATCAGCAGATAAATTGTTCAATTAAGATTTTACAAGTGTAATATCATATTAAAAGAAAGCAGGGAATAAGTAGTTATTCACATGTTTTCAAATATTAATGGATTTTGTTTTTTTTTTCACTTTATGTTCAAATCAAAGTATTTTAAACATTTATACAACACAAATTTATAGAAGTTTTCTAGAATTGAAAAAATTTGGTAAGCATTTTTATTATATACATGTTTCTGAATTTTGTATCTACACTGCAACATCACAAATTGTAAAGACCATTTGGGAACATTTCTAGCATCAATAACTATGTCATTTAAAGGAAAATGTAATATTATTGATATATATTAAACACTGAATATAGTTCAGTTTTTTTTTTTTTTTTTTTTTTAACTAGGATAATAATTAAAATAATATATAATAATGTATAAAAATTAAATAATTTAGTTTGTTTAACTGAAGAAGGATCAAGTGGAGAATATTATGTTTCTTTTACTGGAAGAAAAAAAAAATTGAAGAATATTGAAGCGAATACTTTCTATTTACTATTAGACATAGTTATTTTCATTGAGTTCAAATTTCAAAACACAATGCAAAATAATTCTTTAAATAATTCTTTACCTATCGAAAACTACATAGGCTTAAATAATTCCTTGTAAGATAGATACAATACATTTTTAAAAACTAAAATCTGTTTCTATAAAAATGTTGTTTTTATAAATGTTATATGTCCATAACACAGACAATATTGGACCAGATAAACATTTTCCTATAACTATGCTAACTGGACATACTCTAGTCAATTTGACGATTAGAGGTATATATTAAACACTGACTGCATTACACTAACTTAAGAATGGTTTTAATCAATCTACATAATATTAGATTCTACCTACTGATCACGAACATACCTACTGGTAACTTATGAAAAATTCAACTTAATTAGAAAGATAGATATGTCAATATTGTATAATAGGTGACACTTACCTGAGTAGTATATGGTTGAGAGCTGAGTCTAATGCCGTCTTGTAATAATTTATCCTTAAGCAACAGCTTCAACTGAAGTTTAGGTATCCTGACTAGTTCAGCCTTTCCCTCTTCGTACTCATCGTAATGCACCTGCTGTAGCTCTTGAGTACTGCTGCCCGATGAGTGGCCAGGGCTAGGGGTACATTGCTCTTTGGAGGTGGAGTACTTGCATTCCTCCTGTATCGCAGCAGACTCTTCGAGTGTGAAATAAACACTGGCTGCACCCTCCTCGCGCAGTGTGCGAACAGACTGTAACAGTCGGTTGCGATGCGACGGGTTAAACACACCAATGGCGTCCATATCGGGGTCGCCGACCTGCTTGCAGATCTCCAGGTCGTCATACCCGTTATCCAGAAACGAATCAGCGTATTGGCCCAGGTGCAAGGACCGAAGCCACTCGACTACGATGTTGCTACCGTTTTTGGTGGTCATTGGACAGCGTCAACACTGCAGCCCGGACGGCGACCACAGAAGGCTAACACGAACGGTTCGGGTCGACGCGCGCGCCGCATAACTTCGGAATGACCATGAAAAATTAGAAAATCTCTGTGTGAACTGCGAAGAAAACCAGGAAGATTGACGACAGTGAACTTTACACGGATTCTGTGCGGTTAACACTGCAGCCAAAGTGCGATAACAACGCGTGCGGCCTAATCTCATTCTACCGGAGGACATATTGACATTCTCGGCGCAGTCGTGAACCACACAGCCAGATGTCGCTGCCATAGCCGTCGTCGAAGCGAAACGCCACAAACGCACACATTATTTGTTGGATTATGGGTAATGGGTATGAGACTATACTCTATAGTTAGTATAGACGTATACTGTATAGTATTATTTTACGTCCTGTTTACCGGCTACCAGCATTCACGATCATTTTATAAATTTGAGATCCCAAACAATTCTAGGAGGGTGGATTAATTTATGGAAAATTATTTGTACATTTAACCAATAACCATTATTATCGAATAAATAAAATGGTGATTTTAATTCAGTGTGGTGAATTTACATTGTACAATAGCAATAGCTGATGATTAACTCTAGGGATTCAGACTCCAGAGTTAGTATTTCTGTAACAAAACACATGTTGTAGTGTTGTTTGTAGAAGAGGAACTATAAAGATAATATAGTATTGGCTTACTACGCAGGATAGTGATAACTAAAAGTCAGTGGCGTATTTTCAATTTTTTTTTTTTTTTTTTGTTGAAAGAGGGAATTCAAAAATTAATTATAATTTATAATATAATTTAAAATACAACACATGAGTTATGAATTAATAATTATATTATTCCATTATTATTGTAAATACAAATTAAGAGCCGAGCATACGCAGACCTCCTAGTACCTAGTACTTACTGCTTAGTGCCTTCTATAATATACGTCGTTGGGCGTACTAATAAAATATTATATTCCGTATTACATAATATTTAATGAACATCGTTATTTTCGTCGTCGTCGTCGTCGGACGCCATCAAAAGTTAAATCCAAGTTATTTATACAAACATTAAAACACATAATATAAATTAATGTTCTCTTTCTTTGTAACTACTAACTACATAACAAATCATTTATGATTCGTATGAACCTTTTTTTTTTCTTCTGGGAGGATCAAGATCCAGGAATTCCCCTCGCTTTTTTAATTTATCTATGTTAGAAGTTATATTATGTAGAATGTAGATTACAATAAATTTAATTGATATTGAAAATTATATTACTATTCATTTTATAATGCAAAAAAAGGAATACATCAACAGATTATTAATATTGTTTAACTTTAATACTTACCCTTATAGATAAAATGACTATAGATGCTTTTGTCTACCAGTTATACCTATGGCAGTTTCCATTTCTTCTATACCAAATTAAGTCAAATTTAATTTTTCATATTTATTCATTGTAACATCCCTCCCTCAATGCCTAATGTCTGGTCCTATCTAGTTATTTAAACTCTTTTTATAATACAATTTGTTAATGATAATAAAATATTTCATCAAAAAATAAATACAAAACGGTAACATTTTTATAATATGAGCAATATCACTGACTCCTGGAGAATGAGGACTACCTATATTGTAAGAGTTTGCTCTTCTCAGTAAACTTCATATTTTTTTATATAATACATCAAAAACTAAAATAATATAAAGTAAATGGAATCGTCCACACTTTAATAATAAAATTGTAATACATGAAATAATATAAGCTGTGCACGATTAATTTCTAATATTATATGGGTATGACCTTAGTTTACATACTAATATTTATTTAATCGAAAAATTACTTTCAATTTTGTTGTATACCTACGTAGTAATTATTTATTATATAATCAATTTAGACAATTATTATTATAAATAAAGTGGTCATAAAAATTACAATAATTTCGTCGATTGTTTTCATTAAAAAATATTAATTAGTAGATTCTAATTTAATAAACAGTAATATAGGCAATAGAAATTGATCGAGGATATTTTTGTGCCCCATACTATACCTCTCATATCATTAAAACTCTTTGTGAATGTTAATTTTTGACAATAAAATATAGTTTAATACATAATGCAATGATTATAACAAAAATTGAAAAATATAATAAAATTAATAAATCCATTAAAAGGATTACAAGGGTGTGACTACTTGTTATAATATTTTAAATGGTAATATTATACTATTGATTACCCTTCTTCTTTTGATGAATGATGATAATGTTTAAAATAGTTTTTCATAACAAATCAAGAAAAATCTATATAAATATTAGTACCAACCAACGCGCAATAGGTGTAGCCGTGTAGGTAGAAGTGCCTATTGCGCGTTATGCTTTGTTATATAAAAATCGCTTATTTTTAAACTAACTGTTTGTTTCCTCATATTTATATTTTGTATATTCATAACCACGCATAAAAAAAAAACTATCTATTACAAAAAAAAAAAGGTATTTTGTAAAATGTATATTATATTCCGATAACAATATTATCGTGAGAAAACGGGTGATTTAAATCAATTCCAGCAGGCAAATTCAATTTGTATCACTGTTTTTTAACTTATAAAATAATTAAGATTGAAAAAGAAATCTAAATTTTTGAAAACTCTTATAAGCTAAGCTATAGATTTATTCCAAATGTAAATATTTAGATATGTACAGTTACATATGATATGTATACATTGTAAATTAAAAACTAAAGACCATTCATTTTAATATTTTTTTTTTATAAATGGCATTTAAGAATTAAGTCAAAGTATCACAATCATTTTATAAAGAACTGATTTGTATTTTACAAATTTATATACCTAGCTTAGTATATATTACATGCGCGCAGACAATACATTATAATGTAGGTACAACTACATTATTACTACAACAAATTCTTAGTAATGGTTGAAGAGTCTTCCTAATATACTCATACAAGAGAAACCTGTAAATAATTTACATAGGTGACTGATGTGCATCTTACCCTAACGCCTACTTCTTCATCAAATCGTAATCGTCTAAAAAACGACGACGCGTCCCGTCGAACCGGAAATGATGATGCTTTGCTCACAAAATATATTATACACACTTATCGTTTTTTCTGAAATGATGCTGCACTATACAATAATAATTTACGCTAAAGCGATAACAGTTTAGTTAATAATATATGTAAATCGGACAGAACGGTGGCGGATGCAGAGAAAACAATGGGCAGGTACACGCTCTAGAATAACCTAACCACTATTAAATGAACGGCGGTAACGTAAGAAAGTCTTCTACTTTAACCTCGATTTAAATTTGACGACTAAAATTCGCTGATTAACATGAACAGTACATTTAAAAATAAATAAATTAACAATTATATATTAAATGTCAATAAGAAATTTAAATTATGAATCAATACTAAAATAATAATACTTAATAATTAAATGTAAATAAATTCAACAAATCTCCCTATTGGCTTCTATAAAACAGCAAAATATGTACAATAAATCATAACTATGCGATTCTACCGAATGATCCCCCCCCCCCATTACTGGATTAGTTGATTATATAACATTTATATTATTATACTTGATAAGTCATAAATATACACTTTAGTATGTACCTACTATTAAATAGACACGTATACTGTATACACCTAATTAAACAAATAAATAAATCTATTTTTTTTTAAACGAACATTATAATATATAAATAACTTGTAACTATTTACTATGTTTATATAATTTTTTTGTTAGCCTGGTTGCATTGACAATTATTAATAATAATTTAATGGCCCATTATAATGTGAAAACCCTTTGATCACCATAATACGTTATGATGGGAAAAAAATACTCATTGACATCAACAAAATTCTTGCAAATGTATTTTTTAAACCTTGACCGCAACCAATCTCGTTAAAATTTACATACTAGTACATTTGTGGATTAGGTATATTTTAAATAACTTCTTAACTACATATTACCAAATATACTAAAAAAAAAAAAAAACAATTTATCCTTAGATAATTAAAAATATTCATGGAAAATAGGAACTTGGATGATTATAGGATTCAATAAATAGATTAAGTAAATTTAGATAATTAAAAAAAAGTATTATTTTATTAATTTAAATAATCCATTATTATTTATATCAAAAACTTTTTTCATAGCCTTTTTTTTTTCAACAAAGCTGTCTATTTGTATCATATCATTATAATCTATAGCCTATGTCTTATGGTTAGTGTCTAATGTCGACTTTATTAGCAGTAGCGATACTACAGTTTATGCCCTCATGACTCATGAGTAAATATATTATTCATTTATTTATTTACTTATTATTTTATATAAATAGTTTTTATCACCTCCCAACTGGTGTACCAGTCTCTACGAAGAAATGTTGATATTTTGATTTTTATATTATTTTTATTTCTTCGCACTCGCCATTCTGGCTTTACGACAACTACAGTATATAATATTATTTAATTATAATTATTATAATTTAGAATAACTCAAAATTTCGCATATTTACTATATATAATTACAATAAACAGATAGAGACAGAATTAAATTCTATTATTGATATTTTATAAAATAATACATTTTAAAAATAGTAGGTTTGAATTAATTATATGGGTAGCGACGGATAATTATTAATCCTAACATAATATGTATTTTTACATCAAAATTTTAAGAGAGCCCCCCAAAAAATATTCCAAACTCGAAGCCTGGGGTAAAATTCAATATTATTGTGGGTCGCCAAAATATAAATAATTTCCAAAATGGATCGTGCCATAAAATGTTTGGGAACCTCTGCTCTGTTGTGTCTAACCACCTTTTCTTCGGACTTCCTCTCTTCTCTTTACTTCAAAATTAATTTTCGCAGTCACCCTCACTGCCTCTGAATCATCTCTCTTCATAACTAGACATATTCACTCAGTAAAATTTCAAAAACTGTAGAATAATAATCAATATAGATTTATTTATATACT